GCAGATGACCAGAGTCTTGACCTTGTCCTGTAATTCTTGTCCCACAGCAACCATTAGGGATTCATAAGATGCTTTTATGTTTGCTGAGGCAGACTGCCATTATGATGGCATGCAAATCTTTCTGGTTTGACGAATGTCTCGACATCCATCTCAGAGACACTAATGTGCATTGAGGCTAATGAGCTTATAGAGGTGTTAATTATTTCAGCAGGAGCAAAATTACAATTTGCAATGTCTTCTAAGTGTCTTGAATAACAGTTTACACTACACCACATCCTTTAAAGTGAGATAAACTGCCACCATACTGACTGAACAATTTATGATGTCCTGTGTCTCGGAAGGAAAAGGGACATTGAATTAAGTCGCACAGACAGGAATGCCATTTATGCCATTCTAGTCTATACATGCAAGTCATTTATAATTACCAAAAATTAATTGTGCAGTACTTTACATGCTGTAATCTAAAACGTTACCGACTTTCATTTTTGTAATCAGGCTCTAAAAAGTTATATAAAATTTGGATAGGTTTATCAGGCAATATAGCCTACTGGTTATCAGCTTTCAAACATAAATAATGGTCGGTTATCAGTATCTGTATCTTAAATAGCACTTTATAACATATATTATGATTTTAATCCACCAAAAAGTGGAATAAAAGTCACATCAGAAATTCAGAATGAGTTTATATGCCATGAGGGGCTTAATTCCCAAAACTCAATATGGATCTTGGGCCAGCACTGGGCATTTGTGATGAAAACACACTTCACCTCGTCTTGACTCTGGCTCAAAACAAAATTAGTCATACCCATTTCAACAGTGCTGCATTATTTGAAGGATCTCCTAGAAAAAGCGTGCATTATGAGACGGCCTGCTCCATTGAGTCATCATTCAGTGAGAGCTCAATATACAGAGTGAAAACAGAAGGCGAGTTTAAATCAGCACACTAAGTATAACCGAAAACCACAATGTGAACCGTAAATCAGTGTGAGATCGCATGCTGGGTGTGCTAAAAAGTTTATCAAGAGGAAGATAAGGCTACGCCAAAAGATATGAGTCATTCACATAGATGGTAAATGTGCATGCAACTCCAATCATCATCACAACATGCCATATTGTGAAATCACCAAGCTACCTCGCCTCATTGATACAGTAAACTAGAAATTCTTATTATAAGACATTTTTAATCAACCTTTAGGCCTCGTTTATATAAGAGCTGGCATGAAAGCAGGACCCTCTAATTGAATATTAGACCCCTGACGAGAAGCTAACAACATAAATGGACCCCCTTCCTAATCTCAACTTAAATCCTGCCATCATGGAATCATATCTAAGACATACAGTACAGTATCTCAATATTTTCTGTAGATATATCCTCCAGCTCTTCACCAACCTTTCTCAGGCTGCCTTGCCTGAGATAAGAATAGGACATAGCCTCAAGAAATACATTTGGCACAGCAGGTCAGCCATGGAAAATTACCTTCTGTGCTTTTTAATATCAAGAAACTTTTCTTCCTTTTTGGAGCTGCAAAAACACCAGTGGTAGAGAAGGAAATTAAGGTCTTAGAGGATGGCATGAGAGTTCATTTTTCCATAATTAGGCTTTTGGATAGTGAAGCCCTTGGTAATGGATTCTCTCATGTGTCACATAACACTAGGGTGGTCTAAATTGGATGTTTGTTGCCAGTTTAAGAATGCCCTACAATACTGGCAGGAAGTTGAGACTACTCAGCATGAAGAGAAGAAATGCTGAAACAACACTAAACCCTTTTCAAATGCACTTCTGGGCACCTTTTAACTCCATCTTTGACTGCCAACATGATACCTCCTATTCTAAAAGTGTCACTTCTTCAAGAACAAACATATCATATGAACAACTCTTATTATTATCATAACAAAACTAATTATATTCATCCTAAATAGCTTTAAGGACTGGTTCCAAGTGGTGCAACTGAAAAGCTGCACTTTAAACCATTATGCCTGAAATGCATCTAACCACATGAATGTCATTTCAGTGCTGACAGCACAGCCGGTGACATAAGTGTCAGTCTCCTGAGGATACACAATAAGCTCAGTGTTACTCTGGGGATGACAGTACTTTTATGAAAAAATAGCACCAAAATAACCCTGCAGTGCACAACAATGCTTTGTAACCTATATTATATATTCAGATGTGGTATGAGATGGAACCAACTGGCTACAAACAAATACACCACATGAACTGCTTTGAATGAAAAAGAGACATTTTCAACATGGGGGCGTGAAATATGCTTCCTCATTGCTAAGGGCAGATACACCTCCACATAGTTCTGATATTTCTACCATGGGAACAAATGGTAAATGGCCTGCATTTATATAGCGCTTTCACAGACCCAATGGCCACCAAAGCGCTTTACATTTTTGCCTGACATTCACCCACTCACTCATTCATACACAGACAAAGCATGTCAATTTTGTTTAAGATAATGGCAAACACATCTGTCTTAAAAATCTCTCATCATTTACATTTACAGTGGAAAACATAAGAACAAATAAAAAATCTGCTACTCTTTTGCAAGCTAACCACTTGATGTAGCTTAGCATAACGCTAGTTGATTGGCATGGTACCTTAGTTTATATACGCAAATGTGCAGTTATATGTTTTTAAGTCTATTATCCACCGATTTCACCGACCAGGCTTACCCAGATTAAAATGCATGTCTGAGCTGTTTTAACTTCAAAGTTTCCTTGAGCTTTTGACATCTAAGAGGTCTTCATATAATAAGAATATCCTGTAAGTTTCAGAACTGAAAATGTCCTTGTTAGTCCAATAAAAGCTTTTAGTGACACCAGGCGCAGCAAACGACTCGTTTTTCAAAGTGGGGAACTATGACGTCAAAGAGGATATAACACCACCCCCTCAGAAGAAGATCAACGCCTAATTCACCACAGCCGGTTTAACCCCGCCCACTGATTCGAGCATTACACACATAGCTAAATGGCCAACCTCATGACAAACCGGATCGAGCTACCGAGCAATAGAAAAAAATATTGTGCAGTGCCTGGTTGTGGAAGACAGTCGCATATAAGCTTCCTCTGGATTCCAATAGGAATGGTTAAACTTTATTTTTAATGATGTTCCAGTTGATGAGGTAAAACATTGTCCGTCTGTTCACTTCATTTCACTGAGGATTGTTTTGTAAACAAGACTGGATTTGCAGACCAATTAAGATTAAAGGACGTGCTGTGTCGTCTATATTGGATCCGATAGGAATGGCACACACGGATTCTGGGTCGAACATGTATGGGAGAATCATTCTGGTTGCCATTTTACAACATTGGACGGTTCCAAAACAGTTATTTGCACCGACGGGTGAGTCGAAACTCATTATAATGCAAAACTGTTGTCCACTCACAGCAGTGGGCGTTTACTTCCAAGTCTTCAGTGAGAGACGCCCATAAAAACTGAGCGTTTTTGAGCTAGGCTCAAAACTAGGGTAGAAAATAGCCTAATTCATTTTAATATTTTTGAATACAAAATCCAAGCGAACGTCATAAGTTGACCTCAGACAACAATATAATAAAATTTAAAAAGCCAGTTCATGACCTCTTTAAAATATGTTTTTTGCTTTGCTATTGATTTGTCTCAAGATGCAGACCAGTTATGTTTTTTTTTTTTTTTTCTTTTTTTGAGGCACGTTTATAAACTACTTAAATGAATTATGGCATAATCCTGGCTTAATCTAAGCCCTTTATGTGAAACCAGGCCTATTTGTTTTTGTTTGACCAGGCATTACAAACAGCTAACCCCCATGCGGTCCTTTGGCTGAAAACAACTTAAGAGGCAGACAGAATTTTTCATGATACCAGTTCAATGGCTGTATTCAAAATCACCCCCCCACACCCTTATAAAGTGCACCTTTGGACAGGACAGCCATTCGTATGGAGTCCGAAACCATGGTGGGCGTTTTCACTCATTCAGTCTCCACCGCAATGACAAGTGTACAATCAGATGAATGACAACATAAATGTAATCATGTTGGAAGACTTGGAAATCATATGGACCACTTTTTATAATTATTCTCAATTTTGTCATTTGAAGCATTATAAATTCAGCAACCTATCACTATCAATACAATAATATGGGCAGCCAATTTGTATTTATTTATTTATTTATTTATTTTGCTGCACAGAAGAAAGTCATAAGGTCTCTAGGGTGAAAACAAAAAACTATGACAGGATCTCTCTGAGTGAACTATTCAATTCAATGAATAATTCCTTTAATTCCTTGCCATATGCTTGTTTTTAGTTGTAGTAGATTTAGTTGTTCTGAACTTCTATGAATTTATTTACTGCTGAAATCAAAATAAGATATTTTGAACAGTTGTGGGACACATAGTATATGGGAGAGAGAAAATATACTATCAATGGCGCCGCACAACTGTTTGGTTACCAACATTCTTCAAAATATATTATTTTGAGTTCAGCAGAATAAAGAAATGCATACAGGTTTGGAACAACTTGGGGTGAGTATGACGACATCATTTTCATTTTGGGTTAACTATCCTTTTACAAACAGTTATAGCCATAATAAATGCAAGCCAAGCACCTTGATGAATGACAATTCTGTACTTTCCATCTTGACATTTCTGTGTTTTCTATCTTGTTTCAAAATACAAACATAACACATACTGAAAAATGGAAAACAAATTCTCAAAAGAAGACGAGACAGAGGCAGAAATCGGATCCTTGTTCTTGAACGTTATCCAGAAGCTTTCATCACCGGTAAGTCACATAGGCTACCTGCTGTATTTTCATTTAGTATAGTGTAGGCTAGCTATAAAAACACAGAATTCTAGAGCAAATAGAAATAATGTACTATAACATTAAATCGGGGGGAAATGTTTTTACTAGTCGATAGTGTTAAATTCAGATTTGAAATAAGTGTTGTTGTTTAGTGAACGGTGTGTATAACCTTTTAATTGTCGTAAAACTTATAAAACGGCACAAAACCATGTGCTTACCTTTATTTGTAGTAACAGTCTTTTCCTACGTAGCCTACGTCTGGGTATTTTGTTGCAAGAGTAAACAGCAGCGTTGATATTACACTGAGAAGGCTGAGTGTGTTTGTTGCGATTGAGATGCGCGCAGAAGTTTATGGAAATCAGTCGCCAGATTCCCAATCCTCAAATGCATTTTTCTTAGCCTTGAACAAAGCAATAAACACACGCAAATACAGTCAGCCGTATGTTGACAGCTTCCTTACAGTACAATCAAGTATAAACGACGCGCTTGACGCTACACCTCCTATTCCACGGACTCCACACACAACTACTCCCCACGGACACGTGATCATCCCACGGGAATAGCTCTCATCCCTCCCTCAACGGTCGGCAGCTGGGATCGGTTACACCGGCATCGCTTCGGCAGGACACGTCCTTGAGTTCGGCTCTGTCGATTCAGTTGCGTGCTTCTTGATGGCATAACGTTACAGAATGTATTGGACAACAATGGAAACCATTTGACAAGCACTGACATTGAAATCAGTTTGAGCTGACTGCATCTGGTTATGTAAACGTAGATAGATTCAGCCTGAAAGGATTGGACGGGTCTGACCCCCCTACTACCCAGTCATAAAAATATGAATTATGTTTTTGTGTATAGTAAATTATTTTCAATAAGTAGCCTATATCCCTTTCCAGTTCTGTAACCAAAAATGTTGATTAGCTATACAAGTTAGCCAACGGATGCATTTTCACCTGCTAAATAATTTAGCCTAACAATAATACAACATATAAATATGATGATGATGGTATAGTCTGTTCATTCTTTTGTTCATTTCAGGGTGGGACAATATAGTCACTATAGCTTCATTATTGATTTAAATATCACACATATATGATTAATCTTTTGGATTGTGTAAAATAAACAGATTGCATCCCATTTGCAATATAAATCCCATTAACCCCTTGGCAAGTCAGTGTTATTTGAATTCCTTGACTTTACACCCTTATAGAAAATATTTTTAATAGTGTCATAAATTAGCCCGCTCTAAGTTTGAACCCAAATTTGGGTAAAATATGGACAAACCCAAAAATGTTGGGTTGAAAATGCAGTTTCAAATTTTAACCTAACTTCAATTTTCACTTTCAACTGTTATTTTGCATTTTTAATCCAACATTTGGGTTTGTCCATATTTGACCCAAATTTGGGTTGAAACAACCCAGCATTTTTTTAGAGGTAATAATCTTGGTCCATACTCATTAGCGGGACATTCTTGTAAATTGTATTAAGTGGACAGATATCTCTAGTCTAGTCAAGTCTGACATAAAATTATTTAATCTGAAATCAGTATTTCATTGATTCAAGACTGTCCTAAAGACCTTGTTGGGTTCATTTTGCAATGACTGTGTACCGTTTTATCCCTTATACTTAAAAATATATATTTTCATGATTTATCACAAATCATTCTTTCGTCAAATCAACTTAGATAACGAATGTGGTTCAGGTAACTTAATATTGACATTCTGTTGATTAAACCAATTTCCTTCATTATCCATCTCAACACAGCAGTTCCCATTCTGAAGTTTTAATCTGATGAATTCACCAGAGGTGACTGTACCTTCGTGCCAGACCTTGTTGCTGTGCTGCGCTTCACAATCTGAGGCAATAAGGGCAGGTGGAGAGATGGAGGGCCTCATAAGGGCAGGTGGAGAGATGGAGGGCCTCATAAGGGCAGATGGAGTGATGGAGGGACTCATAAGGCCAGGTGGAGAGTTGGAGGGTCTCATCTATGGTACCACTTCCAGGATTCAGCTCTGGGCTCCTCATCCCCAGTGCTCACACCAGTCTGCAGACATTTCAGATCCTACAAAAATCCACAAACATTACACAAAAGCAGTCATTTTAACAGCACAATGCCCTTTGATTTATGTATTAAAAATAACAAAGATGACTTTAAATATGTTTAAGTAAAAATGTTTCCCAACAAATGCTGCCATCATCTTTCCTTGCAGGTCCTGCTCCACCAAAAAAGCTCTGCAGCAAATGAACAGAAATCAAGAATCAGAAGAAGTGTTGTAATTTCTCTGTTTGAAATCACAATAATTCAAATAAACTACAGCTCAAGATTTAATAGATTTTGTTATCCATTTCTGTGGTATACTCTCTCAGAGCCATGATGATAGCATTCAGCATCATGAGCCTCTCTCCACCGTACAAACACACACGTGTTCTTCTGCCCCTGTAACATTCAGACAAGATTCACACATTACCTATACCTTACCTAATAAGGGACAAATAGAATATATAACATGTTTAGTTACTTTATAGACTTGTTTATTTACATTATTTGCAGCACAAGGTAAACTAATGTAAACAGTATTGACAACAGTGAATTCTCCTAAACAATAGTACACATACATCACTCAGATGTCTATTTCATATTCTTTCTATTCTATTTCAAATTCTTACAGAAGATTTTCTTGCCAGATTTTAAATAGATATTTAGTAATTGTATTTAAGCATTATACGTTTCATTTAAATGTATGCAAATACAGTTGGAGACGTATGTGTCCTTACTGGAGCTCCTCTGTTAGCTATACAATAAAATGTGATTTACGGCAAAATCACAAATTTACCATATTATATAGCGTCTTTACACCTTCAACAATTCAACAGTTTACTGTACAGTAAGTTAGTTAGCGATTTGGTTTGTAATACTCACATTTGAAAACACTCTCATCCATCTTTTCCATCATGTTTGAGTATGACGAATCTTCTTCTTTTTTATGTCGTATCCTCTCGCGTGGCCTCCTGGGATAGATGAGTATCATGAGTACCCATCGATCGGACAAGCACTCAAAAATATAGGTTAAAGCAGGAGATCACCTGGGAACTTCTTGCCTACTCTTTAATGAATACTGATGTTTCGAACGTACTGCTTCTTTCACGTAATGTTTTCGCCTACTAGAATTGGAGTGGCCACCGTATATGAAGAGTTTTTTGGCCCTAGGGCAATGCAGGTGTTTGGATGCATAATGCTGCTGTGATAGCACTATCCATCTGGACAGGCTGTTTCGAGGCAGCGAGACCCTTGGCATGGCCTCCAAATGAAACAAAGAACTGCTCAAAACCTGAAGGCGGTGGAGAGCATGATGTAATTTTTCAGCGCCCTGACGGGGCACAGAAGGTTATCACCATCCTCGCTATCAGATGCTGGTAGAGCCAATAGGGAGATGACCTGTACTCTAAAAGGTGTGCCAATCACCTTGGGGACGTAACCATGTCTCGGTTTGAGAATAACTTTTTATCCGAACTCGAGACACTCTGGGCTAATAGACAGCGCTTGTAGATCCCCCACACGTTTTACTGATGACCAGACACCCGATAAGCTGCTGCAGTTGCTGCAGGAGAGCCAATGAGCACGCTTATACAGCCTGCTATGGTCTGCTGTCCGCCACACTGCGTTGACAATAAATACAAAATTAAGGATAATTTTTTGGCTTCAGATCTCAAGAAAAGATGACTTTACCAGTACAGTAAGCAACTTACGCAAGAGAGTTGTAAGAGAACCTTCTCTATACAGACTGTGAGTTGTGCAACTGTGAGGACTGAAAAACTCAAGTAACATTCTGGCACTTGAGCACACTGGGCCTCCTCCACATGTGGATTTCCAAGTGGAAAATCTTTCCTTGGAACACAGGTTTCTGCCAGAGTTCAGTGAGTATTCACCATTACATAACAAGAAGAGAAATATTGCACATGTTTGGTTGTAATGTGAACTGTTATTGTCTGAGTTCAAACAAACAGCTGAAGTGACATATAGTGACAAAACTTCCATTCAGAATAGATGCAATATTTGTGAAGCCTGAGATTTTTTTTTCTTGGTACATTTTAGTTATGAAAGAGTGAGAGCAAAACATGGAATTGCAATTACCACAGACTATCATGACTAATAGGGGTTCATTCTCTTTAAACCCCTTCTCGACGGGGATGCTTTAATGTTTTACTTTCTGTACAAAATTATTCCTTTTCCATCGGTCTAAACATTCGTTCACATTTGCTGCATCTTACATCAGCATTTTTATTTAAATGTTCTTATAATTCCCCTCTTACATGATCACTGCACTCGTTTTAAGTGTCCTGCTGCAAACAGCTGACGTGAAAACAAAAATGACATTGTGCCAGAGAAGGGTTTGGACAACAAACAAAATGAGATCCCTTAAGGGAGCCTGCTTTTGAGAAGAAATCTCAATTCATTCAGTTGCTCGGGACCCTCATGGAGAGCAGCTGTGGGAAGCGGATGGATCTTTGTAATGCTGTCATGACTCGCCTCCAAGTTCTCATGGTGTTTTAGTAATGAATTCTTCAGAAGCCATTTTCACCCTGAGCTCGAGGACACATTTCAACATTTGGGTAGTTAAACAGTCTGATAGGATTCAATAGTTCTTTGCTAAAACATTTATACATGGTTTAAATGAGAGCCCATTTACAGAACTAAGTGAGGGGCCCTTTTCCCCATTTCATTTCGATTTGTGTGTTAAACTCCTTTAAAACACATTATTAAATCTTAAACCTTTATTTGCGCTTCCACATCCTGGTATTCCACATCCAAATCCTGCAAAGAGTGTCAGGAGTATTTTCAGCATGCATAAACAAGTGCTTTGCAGTTGTGTTGTACCGAAGGACACTCAAGCCAAAGCCTGGATATTGGATGTAGCATCCTGTTCTGATTGCTTATGTTGAATTTTAAACAGGTATCCCATGATTCACAAACCCAGAAACACAATAAAATCGCACTGTTTCATGGCAACTGTGTCTGCAAATGACTACTATCGATACACTGCTTACTACCTAGCATTATAATAGTGTAATGGTCCCTATGTGGAAATAGCCACAGTTAGTATATAATTGCCAGCTGGACTCTTCACGAAAAAAGCCTTTATTCCAGATGAGCCAATGGGGTGATGTTTTCCCCGGGAGCTCATTATCATTGAGCTGTTGACAGTAAAAGCCTGATAAATATCAAGCATCACAATTGTTTCCCTTTCCAGCAAGGACAGAAACTTTTTAAGAAGACACTCAAGAGTCTGAGGGAGCTGTGATCTAAAACTAATGATCCAGTTATCCGACTATGCACCCGTTGTGTTGATGCTTAAGTACATAAAAACACATTTATCTGTGTCACACATGCAAACACCATTGCAGATTGATCGTAAACCTCTGACAGCAACTGCTTGATAAAAATGTAATTTCTTTGTTCCTCCTCGCCATCACGAATTGTCCAGCAAGTGAATTTAGTACAAGTGAACTCCATATGAAATATTTAATTGAAAGGGGGGGAAAAAATCCCCTAAAAGCGGATAATAATAATCTCAGATAAGACTGGGGTTGATGAAATACTCTGGAGAGTTAGACCTCT